ATCTCCAGCAGACTCCAGCCCTCGGTAGTAGAGGTTACTCTAGCGGATGAGCGTATAATGGTAATGAGACTGAAGCTAGCATTTGGCTTCATGTCTCTTATTGCTGTGTATGCTCCTACTGATGTTTGGAAACGATGTGAAAGAGACGTTCTACGCCATACTAGCATTTGTGACAGACAGATGTCCCTGTCATGATATTCGTATTCTGGGTGACTTCAATGGCTACGAGATGTCTGTCAGTCCCCATGGTTCAGGAACTGATGCCGGTAGTGAGAATAGCCTCCTTTTCCGGGACTTTGCTAGGTCACAGAAATTGAGGATTTCTGGCTCCTGGTACCAGCACTCAGACCCATGTCGTTGGACTTGGTACAGTGATGCAGGTAATGCAGCCAAGGAGATCGACCACATACTCGTTAGCACCCATTGAACGTCCTCCAGAACTGCAGGGTGTATAGGAGTGTCGAGTTCTGTGGCACTGACCATAGATTGGTTGTGGCTACCCTCCAGGTCCACTTCAAAACTCCCCAGCAGTCCAATGATCACCCTAGGGGGTTTCACTTAGGCTGAGGGAGGGGGAGTGTGCCTGGGGGTTTGCTGAGGCAGTCTCTGGTCGTTTCGCAGCACTCGGAAATCTGTACTTCTGTGGGACACCTTCAAGCACGAAATGCTTGATACAGCTCAAGTAACGATTGGTGAACTCCCAAGAGCAAGACAGAATTTCATCTCGCAGGAGACTCTGGATGCCACAGATGCTTGTTGTGTGGCTCGTCTGACAGGGGATCGGGATTTGCACCGTTCTCAGATGCGCATAACTCGGCCACTGTTAAGAAGGGAGAAGGAACAGTTTATTAGGAGTCTTGCAGAGGAAGTAGAAGGCCATTTCCTATGTAAATGACCTTCGTCCTGCATACCAAGTCCTGAGAAAGCTGAACTCCAAGCCCTCTTCTCAGGTGACAGCAGGTGACTGATCGTCTCAGATCCTGTTGCAGTGTGGGAGCGTTGGGCTGAGTATTTTGAGCAGCTGTACCGGGATGACCCACAAACAGTTACCTTGGATGTGGGTAGTCCGTGATCCCGTTGCGGACCCACCCATCAGTGAGGACCCACCCTCCCTAACTGAAGTTAGGAGGGCAATCTCCAAGCTAAAGAGTGGCAAAGCAGCGGGTATTTGCGGCATCTCAACTGAACTTTTAAAGGCTAGTGGGGAACCTATGGCGCATGGGTTGCATGCTGTCCTGGCTGCCATCTGTACCAGTACCATTCCCCCTGACCTGTTGAGGGGTGTGGTCATCCCTCTCTGGAAGGGGAAGGGGGACCGATGGGACTGCAGCAATCACCGAGGCATTATCCTGGCTCATCGGTCTTTACTAAGGAGGGAATTTGCCGTTGGTATAGCGCATCTGTGTATAAGGTGCAGTTTGACCCAAGAATTATACGTAATGCTCTGAAGTATTTCCAATTTTGTTTTTTTCAAAGTTGGTAATGAACAAATGCTAGACTGGTGCTGCATGTTCACAAATTGGTCGAAGGAAAGTCGTCCATATGCGGAGATCTTTTTGGGATGCACCGAAGGATTTTCATTTAGTTAACACAAAAAACCTTCCGCACTTTGAAATCAGTTTCTTGGTGTTGGCGAACCACTTTAGATCGTCACTGATCACTACTCCTAATAGACTCACCTATTGAATTTAAATTTTGTTTCTGTGCACTATTTGGTGTTGACAGACATTTTATTTGACGAAGCCCACTCTAACATTTGTTTGAGGGCGTCTTGTATTAAGGTGTTTCCTTGGCCTGGTTGGTGTGTGAGTGCGTGACATGTCCATGTGATAAAATTGATCAGGTCAATTAGGTAGTGGACAGTGTTTCCAAATGTTTCCAAATTGGCGATGATCTAATTTCGGGACGAATGCTTTCCACAATTCCTTAGCAACTATTCTCTCGAGTATTTTGCATGCAGTAGGTGTTAATGATATAGGATGTATGTATGTGTGTATGCATTTATATATACTTATATATATACATATATATGTATATATATATATATATATATATATATATATATATATATATATATACATATATATATATATATATATATATATATATATATATTAATATAATATGTATATATATATATATATATATATATATATATTATATATATATATAATATAATATATTATACACACACACACACACACACACACACACACACACACACACACACACACATATATATATATATATAATATATATATATATATATATAATGTATACACTGTGAAGATGTATGTATGAATATATATATATATATATATATATATATATATATATATATATATATATATATATATGTATGTATGTATGTATGTACGCACACATGCACACACTTAAATACATATACATATATATACACATACACACACATTTATATATATATATATATATATATATATATATATATATATATATATATACATATATATATACATATATATATATATATATATATATATATATATATATATATATATATTATATATATATATATATATATATATATGCATCACGTGAGCAGCACGAGATGGCCGGTCATGCCAGGTCAGCAATCCCTTAGGGGCACCAGTCGCTGGCGTGCCCTGCGGCCTTTCTGTTACCGGCTGCGAAAGGAGTCTCCGCGTCACCAGAGGTCACCAATGGACCAACACAGTATTCGGATACAGGACAAATTAATCCATACCGTGCCTTTAATGCTGCATTCATAATTTGCTAAGTAAATAGTAACGGCAAAGAGCATTTGACTCCATGTATTCCAAAAGACCTATGGCAACTATAGACGCATTGTACAACACAGAGATACGTGCCTCGCACCTGTGGAGGCGCGATTTGCCATCAGTAACAGTGTATGGCAGAACATAGAGTGATTGCATATAATTTAATTTGAAGTGTTACGCAAATATCGGTGTTCTTGTATTAAGAATTTATTTTTGCATTCCTCAACTAAAACTACATCTATTTCTCACAGATAATGGCTTCTGGAGCGCTACAATCATAATCAAAAAAGAAGAAGTGATCGTGTCTGGCCAAGAACACGCAGTTGTGGTTGTAATTACTGTCGGGCTCCTGAACCTGGTCAGAGCTGTCGCCCCAGAACGGCGTCCCCATCTTGACCGCCGTCCCGTCCGTCCACCTGAAGAGGCCGTCGTGGCCTTCGTCTGAGGCGCCGATCCAGTAATAGTAGCCGTCGAGCCCTTATTAAGAATCACGAGGACATGTGAAATCTTTCAGACATTTTCCATAGCCGGTTTGGAGTACTATGCTAAAATGGATGAATTATTGCACGTGGGATACCGCGAATGTTTTTTGAAGTTATTGCAAA